CTGCCACCGCCCCCGCCCCCGCCTCCGCCTCTGCCTCCACCTCCTCCATGACCACCAGCACCATATCCTTCACCGCTCCCATATCCAGACCCAGAACCATAACCTGACCCGAGTCCTGATCCAGAACCACCACCACCACCTCCTCCCTGCCCTCCACCTCCACCTCCACTGATTGACTGCAGTGTCCTAGCAGCAAAGGTGAGGTCTAAAATAAGCAAGACCAGGAAAGCAGTCCCTAACACTCTTGGGCTTGCCATTTCCAGATTATACTCTCGCCGCTCAATGTATCTGTATGTTTATGCGTGCCACTCGCTATATGAGAAACCAGTATGCTTTGTTGACTGGAAATGCTTGAAGTGGTAACCGTATATATAGGCATTGTAAAGGTGACAAGACAAGGTTTTTGAAAAGTACGGCATTAATTGTAAAGGTAACGAGACACGGTTTTTGAAATGTGTCTTAAATTCCTAGTACCTCTCACTTGGTGATCTTGACTGTTGTAGAAAGGAACGTGTGCTTTGGGTTTCTGTTTCAGTGGTGGGCGTCGGTGGTGGGGTGTTGGTCTTTACGAGTGTTTCGCAATGTGTTTTAAAATAATTTGAAGTTTTTTTTATTTTAAATTAATATATTTTTAAATTATTTTAATTTACTGATTTAAAAAAAATAATTTTTTTAATATATTTTTATAAATAAAAAATATTTTAAAAAATAACCCCAATTATATTTCCGATCACGATCGCAAAGGACTGTCTGTTTCTGTCTATAAGCAACAGAATACAAGCTTTATCCCCACCTTTTGCTTTTATTTACTTAGCCGTATCTTGTAATATTTGACTTCGGCAATGGGACTAATAGCATGCATTTCCCACTCTTTATCATTCTGTTCATATTAATTTGAGCTCCACTTTTGAGTACACGTATTAATTTTCCCATGTACTGGTAGCTGTCCTGCGGTGATTTGTGCTAACGATTGTCTCCTTACGCGTAAGTTTATCCGCTAACGGTAGTGATTTATGTACACAGATATCTTTCTACTCTGCGTGTATGCTAACAATGGGCTAAACTTCCACAACAAACTGGGTTGTTCAGTCAATATTTTCTTATTTCGGTTACACTTTCCGTCATTGAATATAAATAAATAGATCTGTGCTTAAAAACCGCGTTCGATTGTCTGTTCCGGTGTATGAAAGCATCACTGCTAGCAGAATGTTAGGCCATCTGCGTGGTTGATAGTCTTCTACTCTTGCACAGATAGAATTTCAGTTCCATATGCACAGATCATCGCATCCTTCAATGGCATGCTTTAACAAGTCCATGTAAGAGTTCTAGAACATTTTTTTTTCTTCCATAGAGTGGTTGTGCTTTCAAACATATCCTCTCTTGTTTTTCTTCCATATTTTTTCTTGAATAAAACATGTTAATGATGAGAGCACTAACTCATTATAGAATTTTTAAATTTATTGACGCATTTTTCTATTGATATTTATACTCACAGTCTCCCGGCATGAATTTTTTTAACCCGCTCATAGAAAAAATCATTCATCAGAAAAAATTCTCCTCGGTAATTTGTGATATGTCGTTGAGTCTATCAATAATAATTTTACTAACAATTAATTGACGGACAAAGCATGCAAAAAAAAATTACTAGCTTCATTCTATTAGGATTTCCATCAATAAATATAATAAATCACTGACAAAAAATCCGTATCATTTAATCGATGAGTTTTTTGACTTGTCAGTATTTCCTTTATTGAATTTGGATATAACCATCAAATAAACCTTCTGTTATTTTTTCGGTCAGTAAACAGTAGCAGTGGTATTTGTAGTAATTCTTTTTCAATTCTTTGAATATACCAACGGACTTAAATTGTCGGTAACTCCATTAATAATAATTTAAAAAAATATTAAACACAAATAGAAAATAAATTAAATTAATATAAAAGTAAAATATTTGTTATAAATTTAAATATTCATAAGTTCAAATACAATTAATATAGAATAGAGGTGTCGAAGGAAGAGGAGAAGGCGGGTCTTCGCTGAGACCGTAGGGCGAATAAGATGAAGCATATATATCACTCATATGTAATCTCGTCTCCATTTATACAATCATTAAAGAATAGAAAAATAAAATTTTAAATTTTAAAAATACCAACAACATTCACACAATCAATTAAAACAGAAAAATTAAAAAAAAATCCAACAACGTTCATGAATAGAACAGAAAAATGCAAACACAAAAAAAACACAAAGAAACAAAAAAAAAAAGAATGATCTTACATTAGTATCATTATGAGTTTCCCCAAGCCTGAGAAGAGAGAAAAATTAAAAATTATGTTAAATAACATGAGAAGAAGAGAGAGAGAAGAGAGGAGAAGACATACCTACATGTGGAGGAGAAAAGAAGGGAAGAGAATACATGGAGGAGAGAGAAAAAGAAAGAAAGATGAAGATTTGAGACAAGATGAGGAAAGAAGAAGTTGTTGAGGAAGAGATAAGAAGAGAAACATGCATTTAATTTGGATATTTTTTTATCAATGATGTTTCTGACAACCAATTAAATATTAATATTTTTAGTTTTTTTGTTAGTGTATTTGTCTATAAAGTTTAACTGAAAATTTCAATTTAATCAAATATTTTAACACACCAAGCATTAACAATGTCTTTACCATCAGAAAATTAAAAATTAATATTTTAATTTTTTTGTCAATGTTTATGTCTATAATATTAAATTAAAATTTTCAATTTAATTTAAAATTTTTAAAAACCCGTCAACTATCACCAATAACTTTTAAGTCTGTCAATTATCTTGTATCCAATGAACAGTAATAATAGTGCAACTCAGAAGTGAACACTATATTAGCTCTTGAAAAAATATCAATGCCTATTTTTTGTCGGTGATCATGTATGTATGGAACATAATTAATTGTACAATTGAGAGGTGAAAAACTACAATATTTTCTAGAATATATCGATGGTCTTAATTTGTCAATGTATATATTAGTATTTAAAAGTTTGTTGGTATTTTTATCAGTGTAAATGACATATCATTGTACTTTTTATCTATTTTATTTTTCCACTATAATTTTTTTAGAATATATTAATAAAATATTTTTATCGGTGTTTACTGATGAATAATACGAAGGTATATTCAAAAAAATTCACTATAATTTACTGAAAAAATATTTTGTTGGTGTGTTCGTTTGCCAATTTTCTAGTAGTGTTTTGCTATCAAAATTAGCAGCCGGCTTCACATGTTTTCCTAAAAAATAAGCCATAAATTAATGTGAATAAATTGTTGAAGTATCATACGTATCTAGCTTCCAATGTACATCTCAACGCCATATTCTACTCTCCAGAATATCCCGAAAATCTCAGGCCACAAACACCCGCTAGCTCACCATCCAAAATTGTCCAATTGCATAGCACGCTTGCTTTCAATAATCGCTACCTATCCATCATATCCTCGACCAAAATAGAAATGCGTGGGCTATCGTCAATTTCTGACTATCAAGTAATGTGAATGAATCGCAACTTCCAAGCACTTGTGCATTTGGAATTCACAAATAGATCAGGTGTATAATTCATTATTTATTATGGGGACATTCTTCAACAAAGGCTGGCGGAAGGTGCTCTCGAATGTTCCTCTCCAATAGCAGATTGAATGTGAGAGAATACTTGTTCAACGCACTACCAGGGAGATAAATTTGGTTTGGTAGAGTTTTGGTGATATGGAAGAAATGGAAGTCATTACCATGTTATTAATTAGTGGCAACCATTATGTGAATGTGATCTGGAGATTCTCTTCATGGATATGCACAAATTATTTATAGTATCATCAGCCTCGATTAATTTCCCATTGATCAAGGATTGGCAATTGACATGGGGGGAGAGTAATAAAACAAAGATCATTCACCATTAAAGAATAAGATGCCAGAAATCTGTTCTTTCCATTCCATTATAATTTTTAAGGCCAGCGCGATGTCGGATGCGACACTTTGTATATTACCTAGTTTAGATAATTATATAATTATTATTTATTTTTTTCATAATTAAGGATAAAGTTAACTAGCATATTGATAATTGATTCAATTCTATATATACTTGTAACCCCGTCATTCGTCATTCATAATGTTACGAACTTTCTGGACAATCCAACTGCTAAGGAAATCAGCTTGCTTACAAGTTCAGTGCCAAAAGGTGCCTTAATTAATCCACTCTGGCATAGCACCTCGTTTCGTTACATCTTCTCGATTGATTTCTTTCATTGAAATTATTGCAAAAAGAGCACTTTTTCGGTTTTTCTTTCTGCTTTCAGTTCGGGTGCCGAAGACCCAAAATCTTGCAAATTGAATTGCTGATAATTTCAACACAAGTCCACAACATCAAAACCCTAATCTTTAATAGAACAAAAACAGAGAGAATACTAAGGAGATCGTTTGGTACCGTTCGGCAGGCGTTAAGAGAGAGAGGGGGGAAGGTTTTGTAGTGTATTGTCGCTGGTATTGTTCGACTAGAGGCCGCGCGCCAGCCCGTAATCTTGGACCGGAATGTCCTAACCCAGGGCAAAATGCCATAAAACAAAACAAAGGAAAACGGAAGGGGAGAGGGAAGGGGAGAGTTGGGAGATTTCAGTGGGAAGTCAAGATATTTCGTGTATCTAGTATAACGGTAAGGAAATCACGCGTGATTGTTAAGCTGACGCGGTCGGGGATTTCACTCCAATTCAAAATTGGGCTTAATGGGCCAGTTTTAAACTTTAAGTGGGCTCTTGTTATTAAGTAACTCCAAGCCCGTATTTGTAAGGCCTTTAAAGTCTTCATGCTGTGCCCCCTCTCATAAAAGCAAAAAAGTATTTAACGAAAAATTTCAATCACCGATTCCTACTTTCATAACGATTAACATTAAGCTATTAAATCATTTCAGGATTGTGACATTATATGGGGAAAAAAAACGTTTACAAGAATTCTGATTAGTAATTAGCTGTTCTTTACCTATCAAAATGAAAAAGATCCTTGTTATAAATTGATTGGAGAACAATCATATATTCAGGATTAATTAAAAGCAACTAGACTAGCAATAACAAATTAGAGACTCAAGACAAGGACAAGGTGAGGTAATTCCCAAAAATAGATGTTAGATTCTTCTTTATGTGGATGGTTCAATTTGGAAAGGGATTAATAAGAGCTTGCAAGAGGCTTTCTCAAGACTTGAATGCTCTTATGGTAATTTCTTTTATCTTTTTTTTTTTAGAAAGTTTATAGCTTCTGGAGATTTTTGTTCTATTTAACAATAGCATTTGAGGTAACTTGACATGAAATTTTATGCGCATAGACTGTTGCACTGGTTAGATTGTGT